CGACGATTTACCATAAGTTTAAACAAATTCTGACATTTTATTTCTTATTGTGTAACAGAATCTCTTTTGAAGGAACACTTGAGTCTATAGAATAATGTTTTGGATATTAAGAGTTTACATATTAAACCGGTATACATTTTTTTTTAAATTAAGTCATTTGGTAAGTATAAAAAATCCTATCCTTATATGGCACATGTGCACCCATATTATAATACATTTGTACAATGTACATTATGTTTTTCATTTTGTGGCAAAAATAAGCAATGCCAGTTTTTAAATAGGTAGGTTATACTAGTAACAATAATGTAAAAAGTGTTAACCAATTAGATTGATAGAAGAGGAGCCTGCTTGGCGCCGCACAGTGGACTAGAATCGCCCTAGAACGGCCAAAAACACATTTTTTTTACAATTAAGAGAATTTAAATTGATCTTATAAAAAATACATTTAAATTTCAAGTTTTATTTATAAAATTTAAACAGTTTTTGCCAGTAATACAAGTTTAAAAGGCATTTTATAAGAAAATAAAAAATAGGTAAAAACAATTGTTTTTGATCGAAACTATTTTTTTTATATTTTTGGTTCAAATTGCAAGATTCTTATTATATTAAAATTGTATTAAAATTTCATGATATTTTAAATAGTTTTTAATAGTATATTATGTATCATTTTATACACGAATTTAATTTAGGCACGAGCGTGTATGGAAAAGTTTATAAACGAGGTGCATACTATACTTTTTCTACGACAAATACTTATTATTATCTTAAAATGATTTAAATCAAAAATTTGTATAGAGCGCCATCTTTGAAACAATAGGGGAATCTGTGTGCCACCGTCAAATGTCAAATTTTTATATTTTATAAACACAGATTATAAAGGTTATAAATCGAAATCTATTTCTTGAAAATTCACAGTTTTTTACAGTAAAAGTAAAGAAAATGTTTTATGAGCACTACATTGGAGTCCGTGTCCAAATTTAAGTTATAGTTTACTGCCGGCGAAATTAAAAGGTCAGTACAATGTTCATATAATTTTTTCAAATATTGGCGTTGAGAAACTTTAATACTTAAAAAAAAATTGTATTTTTGTATTGAGGTAATAAAATAATTTTCACATTTAGTATTATTTTACAAGAAAGGCACTTTATTTTAACGATTGTATGATATTTGACAACTGTCAACTAAATTAAAACTAACTTCAGCCCGTGACTAAAAACCTGTTGCTAACTTCATAAAGCGCCATAAAGCCACAACCTGTCAATGTGTATTTAAAAGGTCACTTAGTGTCCTGGAAACATGTACGATAAAGGGCGTTTTAAAGATGGGAGTAGAAAAAATAATTTAATTTTTAACTTGCACAACTTTAAGCATTTTAACTTATTCAATTAAATTAAAATTTGTAGAGAATCAAGAATATTAATATATGAAACTATGAATTTTAAAATTTCATAATGATATCTTTATTAGTTTTTTTATGGATTTTGGCAACTTTTTGTCATTTCAGTCCACTGTGCGCCGGTACCATCTACGCATTTTCAGGTCGACACTTAATTGCATGATTACTGATTAATAAAGCCATGTTGTTTAAATTGCATAATTGGGTAATGCTACAGTATTTTCTTTACGCGTAATTTTTCTCTACTCCGATGAGATGTGGCAAACCTGGCCGTAGTCCGTGTCCAACAATAAACTTCGCGTATACAGTAGACGAAACACTCTCTCGCCAGGTAAAAGCACAAACGTGCGTTATTTTCGATATGCAGATGTGTACGATTTCCACGCCTCTGATGAGAAACCATACGGCACTAAAATACTCTTGTTACTTAACATTTAGACTTGCATAATTTGTGTCTTTATTGGTTTAGGTTTAACTTGGAAATAACACTGGTTATTGTGTTCTCAGATAGTAGGTTAATAAAATGGTTTATTTTTATTGTAGTATTTTTGTTTTAGCACTTTATTAGAAGAGTCTGGAAACTAGTACATACAAAACTCAAGCATATTTTTATTAAAAATTAAGAATCAATGTAAATTTAACGAAAGGCAGTTATAAATTAAAAATGTATCTTTAAAAAGCTCACACATTTTTCTCTCATTTTGCTAGTTTTTGACGATTTTGTGAAAATTAGCGACAGGGGACTGTTTATATAAAAGAAAAAATAGATTTTTAATAGGTTTTTGCAACGCGCGCGCCATCTTGTGGCGGTCCATAGCATTGTGGGAATTTAAGAATTGTCAACAATACATTTAGAGCATATATGAATAATATTGAATATATATCGTATACGAACTGCACATCATTTTTAAATAAATAGGTAGATTTTTTACAAAAGTCTTACTCGACAAATTTTGTTTGCAACGTTTCAATTGCACATTTAAATCGCGCACGTTATTTGTGTTTCAAGTTGTAAGTAAAAACTGCAAAACCTAGGTTTATAATACCCGTTTTTTGTATTTTACCTTAATCAAATTTGAGTGAAGTATTTCCCAACGCTTTTAATAATGCATAATGCTGTTTGAATTTAGACACTGTTTTATTATTTTTACTGAAAATTTAATGTTTACAATTTTTACGTAAATCATTGCCAAAATGTGTATGTATTTATTGTATCTAGTACTCTCTAAAAATAAATTAGTCAAAAATGACTAATTACTACAGTTATTAGTGGCTGCTTTTTCACTTATATCATGGTATCCCCAACATTTAATATCCATTGAAATCATTTAAGTGGTATTGGTCGGTGATCCAATGTTTAGTTTAACTTTTGCAGTGTAATTTGTCCAAAAAATAAGTACAATACTCCAATTTTGATTTCTTTGGATAAAATATACCAACGTGAATTTTTACCTTACTTTCTTCAAACCAATTCTTGAAAGTTGTATACGTTTTTTCACAGCGTTGTTTTGTCTTTTTTGGTACCAAATTTCACTCTTTTACCTCCTTGAGAATATTTATATTTGGATAAACCATTTTAAAGGGGCTCTAGCTCAGTTACACTGTTATACAAATCAGATTTGTTAACATGAGTTTGTAGTTTGTTTATTTTATTTTGTAAAATTTTAACATAATTTTTTGTAGAAAAAAAGGGTTTGTAATATATTTTACAAAGGAAAATATTTCTTTTCATTTAAGTTCTCAATTTCCAACAAATACTTTTGTTACTGGGTCTACAAAAAGGTTTGTAAAAATAAGGTCCTTTTTGAAAATTACAAGAATTATGTTTGAATTATGGACATAGGATTTTGTTATTAAATCCACAAAATGTTTGTTATAATAACAAACTACTTATTCAATTAGATAACAGATTACAGTTGGTGGTAAACTTAACCTAAAGTTATGTGGACCTGAATTAACATAAAATCTGGTTAATATTTGGTTAAAGTCTGCAAATATTTTTTTACTGTGTAGAAGTGATTTCTTGCGTAATGTTTAAGCACAGTTAAATAATGCTAAATTTCAATTGATTTACTCGTTTGTAGAACTGTCGGAAAATAGTTAAGTTAAATATTTTATATTTTGTTTTCTACCTAAATAACTTAAAATTGTTACCTACCCATACGTTTATCACCTGAACTGGCCGTTTAGTTTTATTTAACCGTAATTATAACACTTTCCACATTTACATAACCGCTTGATTTTATTTTATTTATTGGTATTCATTATTCTAATGGTCTTCATTCATACGGAACGAAAACAATTTTATTTGAAATCTGGTTTTCTTGCCGGACAAACTTTATCTGATGTTATAAACAATGAGTTAAATAAAATAATAATATAAAATTGTTTGGTTTATTGCCTGACAATAACATTATTATAGTGAATACTTAAGACGTAGCCAATAAAATCTATGTTTTATTAAACAATGTACAAAAATAGCCAGGTTAACGTTTAATACAGCCATCACTTATATTTTAAGTAATAAATAAATTTAATTTCTTTATACATAAATAATAATATGTACGAATGTATGTAAATAAGAAGACGGGGACATCTTAATTTTTCAACAGTTTTATCGGCCTCAAAATCAAATCAAAATCAAAATTTGAACAAAGGTCAAAGTCAAACGATATATACAGGGTCAGTCATTTAACTTGAAACTTTGAAATATCAGTTAGTATGAATTTTACGAAAAAAATTTTAATATAAAAATTAAATAATCAATCAGCATGTCTGTGGCAGCCGCTAAGGTTAGACGTGATTTATGAGCTCGGCGATTTTTCGTTCGTTAAAAAAAATGGATCAAAGAATTTGTATCCAATTTTGCTTAAAAAATGAAATAAATTCTGTGAAATGTTAAAAAAAGGCCTATAGTGAGTCTGCTATAAGTAAAACAAGAGTTTACAAGTGGTATAAGAGTTTCCAAGATGGCTGTGAAGACGTTGAAGATGACGAACGCCCCGAACGCACAAGCACATTAACAACCGATAAAAACATGGAAAAAGTGGAAGAAATGGTTATAAACCATCAGAGAAGTCGCTGATGATGTTGGTATATCGATTGGCTCATACCATGAAATTTTTTCAAATGTTTTGGGTATGAAATGCGTGGCAGCAAAATTTGTTCTAAAATTGTTTAAATTTGAACAAAATTTTTGGCCAAAAACAATACTGTAATGATGCCTCAGCCTCCATATTCGTCAGACATGCCTCTGTCTAACTTTTTCCTATTCCCAAAAATAAAGAGAACCTTAAAGGGCCGTCGTTTTGCAAGCATAGATGACATTAAAAGCGCATTGCTGAAAGAACTAAAGGCTATCCCAAAGATCGAGTTTTAGAAGTGTTTCAAGTATTGGAAGAAGAGCTGGCACATGTGCATAATATCCAATGGGGACTATTTTGAAGGCGACAACATTAATGTAGACGAATAAATAAATATTTGTTTTAAAAAAAGAAAATTCCCGATATTTTCTGAACACACCTCGTATTATATTATATTTCAAATCGCGAGGATAGGTGTAAGTAGTTTAAATAAAACAAAGTGTTTTTAATTTGTAGTTTATATTTATCTGGTGATTTATGATTGCATATTCGGTTTGTAACCCTTCACAAACAGTAACTTTATTATACATTGACAATATAATTTATTTATTTATTTATAACATTTAAAATTTTGACAACATACAAATAAATAGAGAAATTGTGTGATAGTAATTCTATAGAATATCCATGTATTTAAATATCACATTTATTATACAACAGCCTTGTAAAAAATTTGCTATTAATTTATAACAGTAGGTACACATTTATAGGGATATTGATATGAGGATACAAAACATATACATAGGTACCTAAATTTCATGTATATAACAACGTGCAAAAGGTAAGGGGTACAATAAAAATTAAAATTTTGATAAATTTCTTCAATACATAACAAGTAATACGGAGTTTTAACAATTAATTTCTTTTTTAAAGATATTAATATAATATTTACATCCTAAACCTACGTTTAAATATATTTATTTACAACTTTATACAAATCGCATAGTTGAGATATAATTTAGGTTCAGTTTAGCTGAACGCTTTTTATTGTGGCAGCTCCACACTAGACTGGGCCAAACAAATCAACTATTTTTTTTTTGAAAAGTATATCAAAAATATGGTTTGGGGTGATATAATTTTTTTTCCTCAGCAAGTTTTTGTCTCAGAACTCATTGAGTTTAATAAAATTGACTCAGAAGAATTTTTTTAAGAATATTAAATGCTCTACAAAATAAAATTTTCTGCCAGATCAATCGTTTCCTTAAAATCATGCCTTAACAATTGGTATAGTTTTACATTTTGATCTTTTAACTTTGGATTTTGTAATTCATGTAAAAATCAGTACCATAAAAAACGATAAATATTCTAATGGGAAATAAAATGCTTTACAAAAAAAGCCTCTTAACATTTTTGGCTAAATTCACTCAATCAAAAGTTATTCAAGGTTAAAGTTGAAGTCGAAACGAAATTCTTGTTTTTTTCTCTGCAGATTTATTTTTTTAAGGATGATAATTTGATTCTTTTCTTTATAAATGTGTATTATAAATAATTAACAATTTCCAATAAAAAAACAACATGATTGTTATTATTTAAACGATTAAATAGGTAACAGTGAAAATAATATTTTCTAGAGAAAATATTTTCTTAAAGCGAAAAAATTCTAATGTGTTATTTTTTTTAATTTTCAGTAATTTTATCAATAGCATAAAGATTATCATAGATAAAAGAATTCAAGTTTTTAACTGACCCAAAAAAAATCTAGAGCGGAAAAAACAAGAATTTCGTTTTGACTTCAAATTTAACCTTGAATAACTTTTGATGGAGTGAATTTAGCCAAAAATGTAAAAAGACTTTTTTTGTAAAGCATTTGATTTCCCATAAGAATATCTATCGGTTTTTTTTCTGGGTACTGATTTTTACATGAATTACAAAATTCCAAAGTTAAAAGATTAAAATGTAAAACTATACCAGTTTTAAAAGCATGATTGTAAGAAAACGGTTCATCTGACAGGAAATTCCAATTAAAGCTTTTTTGTAGAGCATTCAATTTTCTTCAAAAAATATTCCTAAGTCAATTTTGTTAAACTCAATGGTTTGGGAGTTCTGAGGCAAAAACTCTACTACTTTACAAAAAAAATAGTCGATTTTTTTGGCCCAGTCTACTCCACACACGAACAACAACCCAAAAATTTATAGAGATCATTGCAATTGTTTTTCGTAAATGCGCAAGGTTCCACCAACCAAACGTTTTGGACCAGGGAGACTCCTTCAGCAAATACTTTTATTTAATTGTCATAGAAAAATAAAATTAGTTTAACTACAAGACACTTCGTAAGGCAATCTTAACAAATGTTTCAAAGCGAAACCCTTTCTGCCATTTTATTGACTTTGTGATGACAATGTAGGTGATGTTATCAAACAATATCGAATCCAATAAACAACACGATGACGTAATCGGCCACTGATTACACCTTTGTGACGTGACTTGATAATAAAAGTATTCGATATCGATATCCATTCATATTTGACATTACAAACAAACGTCATATGCATCTGAATGAATTAAATATTGTTTGTACCTTGTTTTTATTGACCAACGTATTAAATCCCTAAATATTAAACGATTTGTAAAAAAGAACTAGTACGGAATGTATTAAAATAGTTTAAAAGGTGTTATTTGGCAACAAGTTATAAAACCTATTTATTAAATTATTAAAGCCTTCATGTTAACTTGTCTCTAAATTGTTAAATCCTATCGTAATTTGTAGCGTCTACGACACCAGATTAATATTTTTTATTATTTACAAAAATAGGTAAATTATTTACATTTGTAAATTAATTCAACAACAATCTGCTTGACGAACCATCCAGTGGGATTTTTGTAATAAAATAAATATTGTGAAATGTGTTCGCTCGTCATTGGCAATAAGTCAGTCTGGCACCGTAGCACTGGCATCAAAAATTTTGCGTTAGTACGGCGTAAATAAAACATGCACCCTTACTGATGGAGGATGTTTAATTTAAAACGACCTTTTTTTGTTTTTCACCGAAACTTCAAAACATAAAAAAGTTCCTTTTTCATTTTGGATTTTTCCCATTTAAAAAGCATGCATTGTCAATCACTTTTTTTTTTATTTTTATATCATATTGTGGTTCATTTTTACTTACAGAGTTTTTAACGCCTATAAGAACTCGATTCAAATTGATGGTATCAGCTGTGAAAGTATTTTTTTTACTTTCTCACATATTTTTCACATAACTTACAAATGTTAAGAGAATGGCTTGTCCTACCTACACATTTTAAGAAAAAAGTTGTAGAAAATGCAATTCTCTACAAACAAAGTTCCTATGTTTATATCGCTGAAGTGCAGCGTTTACAAGATATTTAATAGTCATGGAATCGAATTTAAGACAAATTAATCATATATTATATCACAAGAACTATGAATTTAATCGGTTAAACTAGGCTCAGTAGTTTTTTGTTTGGTTTTTCTTGGAAAATCTCGAATACAAAATAATTTAATAAAATCACGAGACCGCGTAGCGATCGAGGGGTTTTATTTTTAATTATTTTGCATGAAACTATTTTCCAAAAAGAAAAATCAAATAAAAAACTTACTGAGCATAGTTTGACAGATTAAATTTATAGGTTGAGTGATATACTTCTAGATTATTTCTCGAATTAAAGGAAACTATTTGACAATTTATAAAATCTGACGTATGTGTCAAAATTTATAAATATATTTTTTTTAAAAATTCCATTAATTTAAGGTATGTAATAAGTAATAATTGATATTTCGTAAATTGGATAACTTATTTTTTATTGTTTTTTAAAAAATGTTTGTTAAAACTTGTAAATAACACCATAAAATCGTAAACAAAAATCCAATATGGAGGCTAAAATTTAATCGCTGTTAAATAGTTCTAGTGATTTAATCGCTTATTTAAACGAAATTTATTCGAAAATTCAAGGCTTTTGATTGGTTCATATTATAATGAGGGAAATAATCTCAAGAAAACAAATTTTTCACTGTTTTAAATATTAAACTGCTCATATCTTGTAAACTGTGCACTTAAGCGATATAAAGGTGAGTATTTTTTTTGTAGAGAATTGAATTTTCTACATTTTTCTTTAAAATTTTTGGGTACGAACCAAGTTAGAGAAAAATTCTTAAAGGCTCTTAAAGTACTCTGTAAGTAACAATGAACCACAATATACGAAATAAAACCCGGCCGAGATATAAAAATGTTTTGTATTTTGGAGTTTCAGTGAAAAACCAAACTTAGTCGTTTTAAATGAAACATCCTAATGAAGACCCTGTATATTTTTGTCGATTTTTGTTGGAAATGTTGTTTCTGAAAATCTTCCAACAAAGGATGTCGAAAATATGCAACGCCTCACCTCACAGATCATTTTTATATAAATAATTAATAATAATAATAATAATAATAGTAATAGAAATAAAAACAACGACACGAAAATGGCACGCGTGGCTTTCGGCCACCAGGAGAGATCATGGTATCAGGTTGCGCGAAAAGTCCACCTACTCGAATTGCAAGTAGATGATTTGCGTGTCTGTGCCATCTAGATCACAGTCTTCTTGCAGAAAAAGTACACAATCGCCGCCGATCAAGTCGGCCGTGGGTAATTCTCACAGCGTCGTCGTCACCACCGGCAAACTCAGGCCCTCGCTCACCTGCAAGTGCAGCTCCTGCTGCTGCTGCTGCTGCTGATGGGGGTGCAGGTGGTGGTGGTGCGACTGTTGCTGCTGCTGCGGCTGCTGCTGGCTGCTGGAGCCGCCCGAATTCAATTTGTTTTCCTTCTTCATGCGTTGCTTCAGGTGCACCTTGGCGTGCCGCTTCTTCTCGTCGCTGCGGGCGAATTTCCTGCCGCACACGTCGCAGCTAAACGGTTTTTCGCCCGTATGCGTGCGAATGTGCGTCGTCAAGTGGTCCGAACGCGAAAACGACCTCATGCAGATTCTGCAACAATGATACCAACTGTGAAACTCTCCTCAAACGTTCGGTGTTGTGCATTGTTCGAAGGACCAAAATTGTTGGGTATTGTTGCTCGAAGGACCAAAACATTGCGGTCCTTCAAATAACAACACACTACATTTTGGTCCTTCGAGCAACAATACTCAACGATTTTGGTCCTTCGAACAACATACACAACATTCGGTCACATTGAATAATAATTCGACTCTATTGATCCATCCAAAGTAAATGTTGAAATACAAAAATTGTTGTGAATTGTTGCTCGAAGGACCAAAATCTACATTTTGGTCCTTCGAGCAACAATACACAACAATTTTGGTCCTTCGAACAACAATACACAACATTCGGTCACATTGAATAATAATTCGACTCTATTGATCCATCCAAAGTAAATGTTGAAATGCACCAGCAATTTCTATTGAATTTAAATTTAATGCAGATAATTCGCAATAACTTTTATTAACAATGAAAAATATATTTACGATGCATAAAGTTTTAATGTAGTTTTTATTGCTTGTTCGAAATATTTCACAATCGCTTTTAAAATTTATGTATTTTTTAAAACCGTATTATTACCGAGAATATAAGGGCATGGTCACGTTTATGTAGTATTCAAAATGTAATACACAAGAGCATATCGTCATATTCCTGCCAAAAGTCACTAACTGACATTTTGAAAAATGATAACAAATTGTACTTAACTATACAAATTTACCATATGTTTAATATTTAAAAGTTTTTTGCATGGTTAAAAATCACTATAGTTTATAAACTGATGTAATAGATATATGTATTTGCTTATTTATTTTATCTTGAAGATCAATAATAAAATGTTAGTTAGTGACTTTTGGCAGGGATATGACGATATAATAATAAAAATGTGACTGACCTGCATTGGAAGGGTTTCTGGCCCGTGTGTATCCTGATGTGCCTGGTGAGTTCATCCGACCTGCTGAACCTCCTGTCGCAATTTTCGACGGGACACGCGTACGGCCGTTCGTGCACCGGAGTTTTGCTGGGCCGATTCGGATACTTCCGGGGCTTGACCGGAACTAACTTGAGCGGTATGGGCGACTGTTGGTACACTTGCGACAGGATTTCGTGTCCTTTGCTGGTCGACGGGTTGTACTCGGCCAGCTGCACACCGTAGCCGGGACTGTTCTGCTGAACGTCACTGCTGCAAGCCGCACTGAACGGTTCCTGTTTCGGCACCAAACTACTGGGTCCGGGCGCCACGAGAGCACCGGCGCCCTGCTGGTAGTCCTGCGCGTCCCACTGATACTTGGCGGAGCTCACTAACGGCTGTCCCACGCGGGAGTACACCAGGTCCTGCTGCATGTCGAGGGAGAGGCTCGTGGAGGTGTAGCTGGGGGGCTGCTTGATGGGCATCGGGCACTCCATGCTCAGCATCAGCTGCTCCGTCTGCGAGCGGTCGTCGTATTGCGTTCCTGCGGGGCTAGGCGTCGCCGACGGGTACTGCTGCTGGGGCGACTGGCTGGTGCCTTGCAGGAGACCGAACATCGCGGGGTACATCGGCTTGTCGCCGCTGGATAAAAGCCACGGGTTCACCGCCGAAGGGGAATGCGCCATCCCTTGGTTCATGGACATGGGGCTTCCGGCCGGCTGCATCTCCGAGGTGTACACCGTTCGGTGGTGCATTTTGTTGATGTTGTTGTTGTTGTTGTTGTTGTTGTTCGAATGGTTCGGGTACATGCTGAGGGTGCTGTGGTTTGTGTTTTCCTCTTCTCTTAGGCTCGGACTGAGGGCGCTCTCCTGAGGGGTGAGCCGTTCGTGTGCAGGCGAGTGCTGCTGCTGCTGTTGGTGTTGTTGGTCCAAAGACAGCTCTTCGGGGTCTAAGGATCCTGCAAAAGCGAAAGATATCGTTTACAAACGGTTTCATGTTATCAATATAATAATCGAGTGCGATCGCAGGAAAAGCACGTATTCTCGGGCAGCTGACAATGTGCTGATTTCGGTGGAAATCGTTCAGCGACAACAATGAATGAAACTTAATAATTCGACATGCACAAAGTATTTAATTGTCTTAGGTCAACGAAAACGCAAGCGGCAATATCGATCGACATCGGCGACAAGTCGAGGGGAAGTTGTGTTGTAAAACAAACCATGAATGACTATCGGTTCCTGAATGGAACGGCATCGCTGCTATCGATTTGCCGAAATGCTGGCACCGGCGCCGTTTCAGGCTGGGCGAGTCCGTACACAAGGGCACTTGTTGCCACAAATATATTTTTTTGATTAAAGAGTTTTCCGTATTTTTCTTGGATATGTAAGCGTGTAGTAGGTAGGTAATAAGATATTCGGGTCGGCGTGAGGCGATGGTTATTATTATCCCGCTAGCGCCGGCCCGGTTTCCCGGTAGTATATATAGCGCGTGCTGCACCTGTTTGCCGTCGGGTCGGGCACCGCTACTAACCTGTGATGGGGGGCGGTTCGACGACGGTGGAGGGCCCGAAAAAGGACGGTACGTCCGAGGAGGTGGTGACGGGGGTGTTGAGGTCTCCCGGTTGCGCTTCCGAGGGAGCGGGCTCATCGACGGCGGTGCAAACGGCCGCCGGGATGGGGCTGCCGCCGCTGCTCGAGCAGTTCGTCTTGTAGAGGCACGTGTCGAAACTGAGGACGTTGAAGTGGTGAGCGGCGGCGGCGGCCGCCGACTCCGTCAGCAGATAGGTCGGAGGGTGGTAGTATTGCTGTGCGGGCAGCGTCTCGATGCCGTCCATGATCATGTTGACCGGCTGGGTGGCGATTGAAGCCGCCGCGGCACAGAAATCCCGAACGTCCTCCACGCGTCTTGCGGGACCACTCTCGATCGCACGAACTGCTGCAACTACTAACCAAACTTGGTGGATGCAAGTTGTCGCGGTCGTGTGCACGCGCGCACTACTTCAGCCTTTCAGGTTTTAACTCTGACTAGTCGCGCCGCGAACCGCTCTTTACTTTTATGAATGGAGCATGTGTTCCATATTTGGAAGTAGTCTTCGTAGGGGAGCCAATGGCGAGGCGGCACTGCCTCTCCCTGCCATACCGCCTCCCCACTCTTTCGGCCGCGTAAAGTGACGTCGGCCTGACGTAACGCGTCGTGTTCTTTGGCGCTCGGCACCACAACCACCACCCATCTATTTATAACACCCTTACTTATATATTAACTCGCCCCTTAGTATCACATCATTTCCCATTCTACAGGTGTTACACAATATATCATAATATTTGTTCTCAAACATTATCTATAACCACCTACATTTTAATGAACACCTGTTGTTTTTAAATCACCCAAAACAATTATATTTGTTTTAAAAATTGATGCAATCAAAGTAATACAACCAATTAACATAAAAATGCAATTTACATGTTAAAAAAGCCAATTAAAACATATTATTACTAAATTTAGAGGAAATTAACAACAATAAACTGATTACTAGGGATGGGATTTTAGTTATTTTAACTTTTTTTTAACCGATTTTAAAACCAATAATGCCAAAATGTATTTTGAAAGATTTTCTTTTAAATAAACCTAACTTGTTTTCACCTTTTATAACTTTTTTGGAGGTTTTTGCTTTAAACTACCTTTTTATACATTTGTTACATATTTTTTAATTTGTCAGTTTATTTTCACATATTTGTTATCAATTTTTACGTATTTTTACATATTTTATTTTTTTGTGTTCTTTTTAAATTTTGCGCCAATATTTTATCCAGTTCCTTATAGCTTTAATTAACTATTGGTCAGTTTATAAAAAAAATATTTTACGTTACTTATTTTATAAACATAAACGAAACTTGAACTTTTAATGTTTTTTTTTACCTAAAATGCTGTTTTTTTTTAATCTAAAATGCTTTTTTTAGTACCTTTTTAGTTACCTATTTTTCAGTTTTTAGTACCTAAATATCCCATCCCTACTGATTACTCTCTAAAAATGAAACAGTGGATTTTCACTGATTGACAGTGCATATTAACTATTTGCCGCAGTTATAAGTATACCACTAGCAATTAGTGAATACTCACCTTTTCATGTAGCGATTTCTTTGCACTAATTTATTTAGTGGAAATTACACTGTACAAATTAGTGAAATAGGTTTAGTTCAAAAAAGTTAAAATTTCACTATTTTATGTCGAGAGTTCCGGAAAAGTAGTGATAATAAAAAACACTAATTTGGAGAAGTTAAAATTTCAATAATTTATATTGAAAAACACTAATTTTACAGTGAATAATTACTCACTGACGGAAATAGTGAAAATTTCACTGTTTCACTTTTAGAGAGTAAGAAAAAGGTCAACTTGTTATATGTTAAACAAACATTGGAAATATTCACTTTGTGTTTTGTTTTGGTGTTTTCTAATTTCTAATATTTATAAAAGAAAAAAAAATAAAAAAGTGTCAAAAATCACGATGGCGTTTTTTAGTAAATTAACATAAAAAATAAAATTTACATGTTAAAAAAGCCAATTAAAACATATTATTACTAAATTTAGAGGAAATTAATAACAACAAACTGATTAAGAAAAAGGACAACTTGTTATATGTTAAACAAACATTAGAAATATTCACTTTGTGTTTTGTTTTGGTGTTTTCTAATTTCTAATATTTCTTTAAACTTAATTCAAGAAAAGAAAAAAAAGTGTAAAAAATCAGGATGGCGTTTATTAGTAAACAAATAATTATGTTAAAAATGCACTCGTCCATGGACGACTCGACACCTACCAGACATTCGAGCAACGCGATGACGACGACGCGTACGAAAATGTTTTAATAAGGGGGCGAAACGTTTTGGCGCCCGCCGCCGCGATTACGCAACGATACGGATTTAGAAAGCGGCCCGAGAAAAATTTCATCGTAATTAGTGGTTCGGCTAAATTTAGCGTCCCGTGCGTGCAACAAAATAACAACAAGTGCTATTTCGAAAAAACATCTGTTAGCATTTCGGGATTTGGACGGTGCACAATGAGTATTTAGTAGAGATTTTAAGGTGGAGAAAAAAGAAAAATTTGAAATATATGTATAAACCTAATGTGATAGGTATACAACAAAATATTAATTCTTTATGCTATCACTATATGCAACGCTTATTTGTGGTTTTAAAAAACCAAAGTTTACAAACCAAACCACAAACAAATAAGTACAATAAAGTTACAATTTTGAAATTTGGAGTACCTCAGGGTACTATTCTCGGACCACTGTTGTTTTTATTGTATATAAATGATGTCAAAGTATGATTTATGTTAGTGGTTATAATATTGTTGATATGGGAAATACTTTAAATTTAGAATTAGAAATTATTTATAAATGGGTTTGGGTCTTAACCTAAGTAAAACCAAATATATGTGTATCTAGTCGTATCTACTCGTAAAACAAAACAACTAATATAGATTTTAGTAACGTAAACCCGCTAATTAATATTATTAAAATTGAAAAAGTGGATGAAATAAAATATCTGGGTATTATATTAGACTCGAATCTAAACTTTAAAAGTTATGTTGAATATTTATTTATAATTGAAAAGAATATTTCATTGCAAGTAAAATTATTACTATATAAAGCCATTATAGCTCCACATTTCGATTATTGTTCAGCTGTACTGTTTAGTATAATAATAATGAAATGCAAAAACTACAAAATAAAGTACCTATTTAATAGTATATTATTTATCAAGTTTGATAAACGCCATTTTATACACGAATTTAATTTAGACACGAGCGAGCTTGCGAGCGAGTGCTTAAGTTAATGAGTGTATAGAAAAGTTTATAAACGAGATGCATACTATACTTTTTCTACGACAAATACTTATTATTATCTTAAAACGATTTAAATCAAAAATTTGTATAGAGCGCCATCTATGAAACAACAGGGGAAACCGTCAAATGTCACATTTTTACATTTTATAAACACAATTATGAAGGTTATAAATCGAAATTTATCTTGAAAATTGAATTTAGGTTATAGTTTACTGCCGGCGAAATTAAAAGGTCAGTACAATGTTTATATAAACTTTTCAAATATTGGCGTTGAGAAACTATTTAATATTTTTGTATTTTTGTATTGAGATAATAAAATAATTTTCACATTTAGTATTATTTTACAAGAAAGGCACTTTATTTTAACGATTGTATGACATTTGAGGACTGTCAACTAACTTAAAACTAACTTCAGCCCGTGACTAAAGCGCCGTAAAGCCACAACTTTTCAATGTGTATTTAAAAGGTCACTTAGTGTCAGGGAAACATGTACGATAAAGGGCGTTTTAAAGATGGGAGTAGAAAAAATTATTTTAAAATGTAACAGGTACATTTAAATTAAGATGATGATTGATTTATTAAGTTTGTTGAGTGTAAAACAATATGTGGTTTAAAAACACTATTATTTATATTTAAAGTCAAAATGGGGATTCTTCATACATATTTAAATAAAAAATTAATATTAGTACAAACTGTCCATAATTACAATCCTAGGAGTATCAACGATTTTTATGTTACAAATTATGATAATAGGGTAAAAACAACAAAAAATGTTTTTTTAATGGAATAATATTATTTAATATCCTTCCAAATGATATAAAAAACCGTGATAAAATTAAAATATTTAAGAAACTTGTGATTAAATATGTTAAGGAAAACTTTTTATTGTGATATTTTGACTTGATTGATTTTTTAAGACATTAAATGTCAAATTTTTTGTAACATAAATAGCTTATTCTAATAAATGATTATTATTATTATATTGTTATTAGGTATATAAATAAATTTAAAACGTCGGATTAAAATACAATGGTGGTTTGTTCTGCATTTGGTTGTAAAAGTTTTATTAACAAAAATTTATAGTGACACTTAAAATTTGCCGAATGGCATCCAACATTTTATCTTTAAGACACAATTTTATTTCTCAAACTACATACACGTAACTACATAAAACGTAATTAGAAGTCAAATTTTTTGATTGGCACAAAGTGGTCTTCATGAAATTTTAAGTGCCTAGGCTACAGATTAAGACCAATAAAAAATCTACTTCTGTCAGATCTATCTAACCTCACTTTCTACTTTCTACCTTCAGAACCACAAATCCTGTTTTTTATAATGATTTGACGGTTTTGACGATATTTTGGTTCATTGTGCGACTTTGTGGTATGCATAGCATCAGACCCAAAAATACCCATCAGCTGTATAAAACGACTCTGACTCAAAAACGACGCCGTGACGTATATATCTGTAAAAGAATCATATTCTATTACATATACATAATATGTAAAAAGATGTTTTTTCGGAATAATTTGACGTATTTTCTATACAGACCATTTATTGGTTAGCATGCTTGCCAACACTACAATTGTTACGTCACAACATTTTTCAGAGATTTCAGTCGATCTATTTTCGAAGCCTTACACACAAATTTCATTGCGAATGTTTTTGCTATACATTCTTGAAAGCAAGACTCATTTACATCCTTAAAATTTTTAATGGATTTTTTTTAAATTTATGTTGATTATGTTTTATTGTGTGTTGGTATTTTTTATATTTAAAATTGGTACTCCTGTTCAAGCCCTGTCTTGGGCAGTAAAGTCACCTATATTTCAAAGTTACTGCATTTTTAACAACTTATATTTGATATATTAAAATTTATAAACATTCTTATGATTATAACATAACCACAATTATATCCTCCACTAAACTAGTTTGTCCTACTCAATGTAGCCAATTATAAATTTACTATACAATGTCCTAGATAGGTAGTTTTTATATTATCCCACACTATACCAGGAAATTTAACCTAAATCACCTTTCTTATTTTACTGCAAAATGCAGTGGAAAAACGACTGTTGTGTATGGAAGTTTTGCCCTCAATCCCGTACACGAACCCTCACAAGGGGTTAATCTTGCATCTCTGACGTCATTTCATTCATGCATTCCTCCCCTGAGCGCTCGGGTGGAGGGGATAGCTG